CCCCAGCAATCCGGGGAATGGGGAGGGTAGACTGGATATGGTCCCAAACTTTGGCACTTTTTTTGCACACAGTGGCTGCTCTCAGAAATAAATAAATAAAATATAATGCCAGAAAAACCATCATACATATCTTATTATCCTTATTAATGTTGTGAGCATGATATTACTTCGTTGCGTCAACAGAAATGAATAGCGGGCAGCATGAAATGAAAACCTTTTGCATTTTATGCCATTTAATTATTACAGGTATCATTGATCTATTAGAATTCCCAAATAATCATATTTTCCAATAATGGTTTTCTTTTATTCACTTAATCTTCTTGATGTTGGGGTCTTCCGATCTGCACATCTGTTTCATTTACCAATTTATGCTGATTATAGGTAGGACTTGAGGGGAGTTCTATTGGGCAATGGTGGCTTGATACCATAGGAAAAACCTTAGATGAGGGATCGACTTTTGAACGTATTGGTTCTAGGCAGCTGGCAGGCCTGCTAATAGTTATTTGGTAAGTTTGCCATTGCGAATAGTGTTATGAAGATCTCTTTTCTTTCCTCATTTTTTGGAAGTCAAGTTTTTTAATACATAAATGGAATGTTAGTTTGTCTCCTTTTCTTACAGTAAGGGTCTATTTTACTAAATATTCTTTAGGATTTCTATCCTTGTTAAGTTCTTTAGTGGCTGATATTGTGAGTTAATTGTTCATTCCAGGGTTAGAAAAAATCTTAGAGCACATATTGGAGATGTTGATGCTGCAGCAGTTCCATGTGGCTTTGGGCGTGCTATTGGTAATAAGGTATATGTTCTTTATTTATTTAGAAGCAATCTTGGGGGGGATGTATCCTCTGCTTTATTTATTTATTTGGATATTACTATTAAGAAAAGATAATATCATTTTTTTAAGTTTGTTATGTTTTGGGTCTTCATGTTGTTATTCCTATGCAATATTTTGAATTGACATCGTATTGTAAATTGTAGAGGAGTTTTAGTGTTCAGCCCTAATAGGTAATAAAAAGAGGAAGAGAAGAAGATTGAAGAGAAAGGGGGTGGCAATTAAATATTCTTTCTTGCCCAATCCTTAATATCTTATATATGTGCAGCTTTGAAAGATGAGGGAATTACAAAGATGCCCCTAGCAAGGTGGTAACATTAAGAAAACAAGAGAATGCGGAGATTCCATGATTTGATGTACTTTATTAGTATTGTCCCTTGTTTATTATCCTTTTTCTCTTTCATCCCTGTAAGAGCATTCTTGCAATTGTACTGTTATGGGCCCGGGAATAGGATCGCGCCACAGGTCGGTCCACGGGGAAAAGCTCCTGTTTTCCTTTGTTCCTCCCCTTCCTAGCTGAACCTATCTTGGCATCCTAAAGGGTGATTTGTCCAAGAGATCACCAAACTCTCCTTTTACTCTCTTTCTTGACTGGAGATTTGATATCTTTATTCAATAATTTCAGCTCCTTAAATAGGAGATTACAAGAGGTAAGAGTCCTCCTTGTAGGAAGACTCCTTGATAACTAAASTRYTTACAGATAAGATAGATAAGACTCCTAGATAAGACTAACTAAACTGCTTACAGATAAGATAAGAGTAAGAAAGCAGATAAGACAAGGATGAACTGTGGCTAGCTAGATAATCTGATGAGGGTCCCACGTTACTGCTGCTGCCGGCGGCGGTACTTCTTCCCCACGAATGCGTCCATAACATGTACATACCAATGTTTTAAAACGCGGAGGTGTGATGCGAGGTGTTCCACTACCTAGAGGCATGAGGCATAGTTCAGAACATAAGAGGCGTAAGCTTCCCAAACACAAGGAGACATAAGCCTCCTTAAGAGGAGGGGGATGAGGAGGAAGGGGGAGGAGGAAGAAGAGGAAGGAGGATCTCATTTAAGATTATTTTTAATAAAAATCTTTTATATTAAGAAGAATGAAGATCCATGGATGCTGGCCCACTGTCTTTCCTCTTATCTTTTCTTCTCTTCCCTTTCCTTTCCTTTTCTTTCTTTTTCTCTTTTTTCTTCTCTTTCTTTTTTTTTTTGATAAATGTTTTCTTCTCTTTCTCTTTCTTTCCCTTCTCTTTTTTTTCCTTTCTTTTCTTTTTTTTCTTCATTTTTCTTTATTTTTGTCTTTTTATATGAAATGTACATGAGGCACATGAGGTGTACGCCTCTAGCACGCCTCATGAAAAAGGTGCATGAGGCGTACACTTCAGAGGTATCAGCGCCTCTGGCATAGGCCTCAGGGCGTTTTGGGGGTGCTTCCAGGCGTATGCCTCCTACGCCTTTTAAAACACTGGTACATACTTATTAATATAAAGGAGGCTCTTTGCGGTGGGGGTTGATTTATTCTTGTTACCCCTAAATCTGTTCCAAGCTCTTTCTCTAATTTGGTTAAGAGGGTTAACATGGTATCAGAGCAGGTTCTCTATACTAGCTTGTGATCTCAGTTTTTGAGATTGAAGGGTGATCTTAGGGACTTCCGGAGCTGTATTCAAGTTCTGTGTTGGAGTTCATTTGAGGACTGTTTGATCAGCACAAAGGATCTTATTTTTTTCTACAAAGGATGCCTATCAGGTTGGTAAATCTCAGTTTTCTCTCATTTGGCTGATCCAATCAACCTGTAACCCTGGATTTGGTGTCACCTTAGGGTCTTCTTACTTCCCATTTACCTGGTTAAGTTTTTAGATTGTTCTTGGAGGGTTTTTGATCCCTTTCTCTGTTCGACAGTTCTGAAAATTACCTTGTTTGGACTGTCAACACTGAGATTTTGTGTTTGTAGTTTGTGGTGTTTTTTGGAGAGTTTTGTTTTCTCTAAGTGTTGGAATAGTTCTACAACTACTTGTAACTAAGTAGATTGAAATATTTCTGTGCTGTTTCTGTTTTCATACTGTTATTTTGTGCTGAAATTGCTTCTGATAGGGTAGATGTTATTCTTGTGAAACATGATGGATCAAACTATGGGATGTGGAAATTCCATTTTGACTTCTATGTTGAGGGAAAAGGTTTGGAAGGGTAGAATGGGATTGTTACTGAACTGGCTGAGGCTGATACTAAGGCTTTTTAGCAATGGAAATTGGACAATGGGAAAATTGTTTCTTGGATTCTTAACCCTATAGAGTCTTATATTTCTGTTTCTATGAGGAAGATGAAGACAACCTACGAATACACAATATCAAATTGAACCAGAGATCTTTGCTTACTATCAGGGAGATTGGAAGGTCCAAGAGTACTATACCTCATAGGTGAACAACCACTAAAGGTCCAATTTCCTTTGCTTTATGCACTTTTCTGCTACAAGTTTGAACCCATCTCTAAGTCTGTGAACTTATCTGCATCGGACCTAAATTGGGATCTTGGATTCAGAAGGGTCATTAGGGAAACAGAATATGAATCTCTCATTATTCTTTTGTCCAGATTTGACTCTTGTCTTTTTGGCTCAAAATGTAGAGGACAATAGGGTTTGGTCTATTGCCTCAGGTGGTCTTTTCACTTGTGCTTCTTTTTTCAACTTCTTATTTCAGCCTTTTACCTTGGGGGTAAATTTCCCGGTGAAAGAAATTTGGAGTAAGCCAATCCCTCGTCCCTCCTAAAATGTAGGCACTTTATTGGTAATCTTTCCTTGGAAAGATTAACACTTGTGGTATGTTACAGAAAAGAAGGCCAAATAAGTGCCAATCCCTCGTCCCTCCTAAAATGTATCTTTTTGCCCTGTCCTTTTGTATTTTGTATTTGGGAGCATCTTTGTTCTCATTTTGGGTGCAGGTGGACTCCTCAGTATGTGGTGGGTCTCTTTGACTCAAACTTCTTGAGAAAACCGAAGAAAAGGGAAAAAATAATGTGGAAAACAATGAGAGCTGCATGTTATGGATTGTATGGGAAGAAAGGGATGAGAGGATCTTCAGTGAAAAGGATAGATCAAAGATGGGGATCTTTGATACTGTGAAAATTGAAGTGGCACAGTGGAGGGGTGTTGTTGTAGACTAACAAAAGTCATTTGGGTGCTGTGGAGGTTAACGTCGCCGGAATCAAACATGAGAGATTGCCCAGGTCTTTTGAAGTCTACTCAGATGGTGTATGGTATAAGGTGTGGGTGGCTTCAGAAGTTGAACAGGCCTGGTGGGGAAGATTTCCCAAGGTTGAAGACGAAGGTGAGGTGGCAGGCTAGTGGACATGTGGAGGAAAGAGAGTGGGGTGCGAAAAGGAACTGTAGGGAGAAATTAATTTGGCCTTTAATCTATCGTCTGGGGTAAACCAAATGACAAGCATGCCTGTTAAGGCACTTAATTCAAATTTATTTGAATTAATCACAGGTAGGGCGGGCCACCTATCTTCTGCTGATGTGGCGAGGAAGTTAAAAGGACAGAACAACCGAAATGCTTGGTCTGAGCCACTTAAATGGTTGGGTGGGCCGACTACCAAACTGGGGTGCAATATTAGTGACCCACGTGATAAACTTAAAGTCTCACGTGGGTCAGGGCATGGGCCTGAAACAGACATCGACTATTGAATACCCATGTCTTAGTAAGCCCAATACAGATTGTGACCCATGTGATAACTTAAAGACTCATGTGGGTCGGGGCAAGGGCATGAAACACGCAACGACAATTGACCGAACTCTCGGTCTATCATTGTCCAAATCAGTGTGTTCGGCGAAGGAGAAGTTGTAGTGGCGGAGAGAAGACAAACATGGTCTTCTACAGTGGATACCCCATGGAAATTTTGAGAAGTTTAGCTCAGTGCAATGCTCCTCAGAGAAACCGAACCCAAGATATGCAAGAGAGAGAAATGAAGAAAGGGAGGAGTTGGACGAAGGTTGGGTGCATTGTAACGTAAATGATGAAGAGTTGGATGAGAGCTCAGACAAAGGCACCAGCATTGGAAGTGTAAATGATGATGGTGGCGGCGATGTGGGTGATACGGGTTTGCTAAACTGTGCAAGTCTCTTTCAGGGGGTTTAGAGGAGAGACGGATTTCTACTCCAGATGGCCAGGAAGGTTTGGTAGGTGATGGAAGCAAATATGAGACTTGTGAAGCAGGTGGGGTAAAGAAATTAGCCAGAAGAGTCCACCCCCTAGATTTCAGATTGTGCAAGGCACAAAAGAGGGGGTTAACCAGGGGAACTTGAGGCAGAGCAGGTATGTACTAATAAGGGGTGAACCAAGGGTAGAGAGGAGAGATTGCCTTGCTGTCCAAAGGATAGAGGTGCTTCCCAACCAACCTAGGGAGACAGTTATTTACCAAACTTCTGAACAAGGAAGGGAGGCTGTGAACAGTGTCCTATGTACTTCCCCAATTTTCCAGTTAAGCTTAGGTAACCAAGTGAATTCAGTTTGTGCTACTAATGTTTTTTTTGTGTCCTACGTTCCAGATTCTGCTCCCATTCCAAGTCCAGCAGCTTGTGTAGCCAACCAAGGTGGTGGGCCTTATAAAGTTATGGAGAAGGGATTGTTGGACTGTGAGGAGGTGGTGGAAGGAAGGCATAGGAATGAGAAAGTATGGGAAATTATTGAAAAAATTTTTAGTGAAGTTGAAAAAAATATGATGTTGAGGAAGGAGTTAGAGGAAAAAATAGGGGAGGGATCAGCTGTGAGGGGAGAAGGAGAGGAGGGGAATATTTAGAAAGGACAGTGATGGAGGGATCTAATAGAGAAGACCTGATAGCAGATTTTGTGGGGAAGCTAGGATGCAGAATGGAAGATTTAAATGGACTGAAGAGTGGTGTTAAGATGTGTCGAATAGGGGTAGTTTAGTCTTCTTCTGTTTATTAAGTAACTTGCTTATGTGGCTGTGTTATT